AGAGGAGTAAGGCTTTTAAATTTGATAACTGAAATTCAAAGCAAGCAACTTATTTCCTCCAGGTGAGAAAGAGTATTAGTAAGTCCATCACATGCAGCAAGCTGTGAATGCCTCAAACTTTTAACCGAATTTCAAAGTCATTGTAGCTCTGTGCTTCCTCAGAGAAGAAAACCTCAGAAGAAATGTACTATTTATGTTGAACCCCAAATGTTGATTTGTTCTTTCTCACTATGATACCAAAGACTCAATGACTGTGAAAACTAATTGAATGCATATGTGACTGAATCCTTATTTAATGTGTGTGATGAGTGACAATGAACCACATGAATATGTAGAATCAAGAAAACCTGCATGGGTAGTTTCATGTGGTGAAAAAGGTACCAAGTAGAATAGAATGTGATGCTGAAAAATTAGTGCCTCTTCAGCACTCCTACATTTTCCCTTCCAGGTCCTGAGTTCTAATTGGAAAGGACGTGTAATCGCTAGGGTCAAATAAATGTCTGTTTCATCTCTGGAGCAGTGAGGACAGAACAGAAACTAGTCCCCACTGGTGTCTGTACAGCCTAATTCTCATTCCCCTCTCCTGCAGAGGCTGCACTTGGACACGTCCCTTCCTGTTACAGGTTGCCAGGCCCTCTTCAGAGCGGTGAGGTCAGACTTTATCACTGCTCAGACTGGAGGAGGAACAGGTGCTGCAGTGTCAGGTTTAGGCAAGTAAAACAGACACTGGTCTCCTCATTCAAGGGAGTTTGGCAACCGTGGGCCTCTCATTTCCCTGTTAAGAGAAGCTTTAAGCTGGATCAGATCTGAGAGAGCCCATCTGCCTCCCCGCCGCCTGCTCTCCTTCCTCCCTCTTCCTTCTCTCTTTCTCCTTCTGAAAATTATAGGCAGGGAAATATATGTGTAGATAGTTAAGGATCTTTGGACTTCTAGTCTACAGTGTGACAGACTATGTCTTCTGAACACCGGGACACAGAATTTCATCACCTTGTGATAGACACATTTCATTTTACAGATTCAGGAAATGGGAGTTCAACGGGTTAACAGATGGTCCAAAGTCACAGAGTTAGTTTGAGGGACAGAAGTGATTCCTAGTGATGCTTTCTCCCAAATCATCAAATTGTCTGCCAGATAATACTACTGTGAAGAGTGACTGAGCTGAGGATAGATACAGGAGAGCAGAAACAAATAAAGACCATCCAAATGAGAACAAACGGAGGTGATTCATTTAGAGTTTACTGTAACAAGGGAGTTAGGCACCATCACATGTACTTCAGGGACTCGAAGGTAGAGGAACATGACACCTATTATAGTATAAAAAGGGAGGGTGAGAAAAGGTGTGACCTTTCTGGACACTGCTGGCAAAAGCAGGAGGAGGGCTAGCTAGAAGTGCAGCATCCCATATAATTGGTTAGGAGAGCATTTCTTTTTTTTTTCTTTTTCTTTTTGGCTAATTAACTCTTGAGTTGGAAGCAGGGATTAAAATATAACAGGGAATCTGACCATCTCTTGCCAAGTCCTGACTCTGATGAGCTGACTGCCCAGAGGCTGGCCTCAGAGCTCGGTTGTTACATTTGGTCTAGCCATTGTTGGCTTGTACATTCAGTCCCTTAGGCAGGATTGATAAGGAATGCAGCCCCTTTCCCACCTCCCAGAGAAGACACATCAGTGATATCTTTGAGTCTTTCTTTCCTTTACCCTCTGTGTTCCATCTATCACAAATTCTCTCCTTGAGAAATCTCTCTGACATTTACTCTTTTCCTCCCACCAAGTTCTTGTTGAGAACATCATCTCGGGAACTGCCAAAACTCTGACATAGCCAGACTCCTTCCTCCACTCCCCTGACCATTAAGTCTATCCAGCAAATTGGCCACTCTTAGGCTGTCCTGTGCTGTGCTTAGTCGCTCAGTTGTGTCCAACTTTTTGCGACCCCATGGACTGTACTGTACCAAGCTCCTCTGTTCATAGGGATTCTCCAGGCGAGAATACTGGAGTAGATTGCCATGCCCTCCTCCAGGGGATCATCCCAATCCAGGGATCAACTCAGGTCTCCCTCATTGCAGGCAGATTCTTTGCTGTCTGAGCCACCATTATCCCCAAACCAGGTGCCTCTGTAACATCCAGGCTCAAAGCAAATGAAACACCTAATATGCCTCCATCCTAACCAGTGATGATAAATCTGTAAAGTCTTCAGCCTGACTTTTAAATCCCTTCATGGCCTGGCCTGCATTGCCAACCAAACTTTATATCCCCCGTCCCTTACCACCACTTTCCCAGATAGCCAATGCTACGGGCGGTAACCCACACAAAGAAAGGCCCTAGAATAAGCACCTAGTGGGTTATGAATTTGCCCTCAGTTAAGGCTTGTGGTTTCTTTATGTTGTATGGCCACAGCCTATACCCTCACACTTGATATTCACTACACAGAAATATGTCATAAGGTCAACCTCAATTCATCTTTTAGATTTTTCTTAGTATTTTATAATTTTGAAAGTATTTTTCATATTTGTCACTTCAAATGATTCTCCTAACAAACTTGGGAGGAGGTTTAATATGATATTATATAGATGAGAAAATACATGCTTCATAAATTATGTGATTTATCCCAAAGTCATACATATAGTAGACAGGAAGAATAAATAAGTCAACAATATTTTCACAGTCTCTATTCTTAGAACCATGTTCTGGATATCCATCGACATGACCACTTTTTTTTTTCTTTTTCTAACCACTTATTTTACATATTTTTTTCTGACTGCTATAGAATACTTGTGTAATATATAAAAGGTGAAAAATGAAAGAAAAAAATCACTTATAAACACTCTTCTATAGATAACCGATGTTAAAATTTTATATATTTCTCTGTAGTTCTTTTTCTACTATTCCAAAATAACTGATCCCAAACTATATATAATTTGTATTACTCTTTGTAATACAATTATTCTTTGTTAATTAAAATATGACAGATATTTCTCCATGTTTTAAATTAATAATAAAAAGATTCATGTGAATATTTTATGCATAATAATTCATTTTTGTGTACATAAAAAATAATAAACTATACCCAAGCAACTAAACATTTAGTTTGTTTACAACTTTTCTATTTTTTTAAATGCTATCAATTTTCTGCCCATAAAGTATCTTGATCACTTACTGAGACTAGTTCTAAGATTTCTATCATTAAAAGCAATATTGTGTGATACTAGAAAATTATTTTCTAGAAGTATAGTTCTAATTCAAACTACTACCAGCAGTTAATGAGAATAAACACTTCACCTCACTTCATACTCACTTTATGAAGTATATGAAGAAAACAGTGTCTCATTTTAATTTGTATTATTATTGTTTATTGCCATTGAGACCAAAAATTTTTTTTTTTTTCAGATTTTCATCAGCTTTTTATATTTCCTCTCTGGGAAGATTTTATGTCTCTTTACCCATGTGAGTAATGGGGTTGTGGCTGTTTTCAAATTAATGGGTATGACCTTTAAACATTAATCTTAACCCTTTGTGATCTCTTCTGAGACAACTACAAGAAGGGCTAGAGCACAGCATGCCATTGACTTCCACAGATTTCTATTTCTTTGTTTCCTCAGAAAACAGCTACAAACCTAGGAGTCACATCTGGTAAAGAGGGGGAGGTTTTTCTCAACAGAACTGGATTGGAAAGTCCCCAAGGACAGGCATTTCATCCTTTTTTTTGTACCCTCAATGGAGAACAACAGCCTGATCTTGGACCATGTTAAGGTATTAAAAAAACACTTGACTTTTCGACTTAAGATAAAGTCGGGGGTGGCGGGGGTGGTGACAAGATTGTAAAGTGAAGGTACTTGGTTTGATTTGCTGGGGACCAGAGAGCAAATTAAGGGTATCCTGTTCCCTTGACCAGCCACAGACTGACTGGAATTCTATGTTTGTTTAAGAAGAGTATTGATGATTTCAAACAGTCTTTGCCATAGTTTCCAGTAGTCTTTAAATCTCAAAATTTTCAAGACAAAGCAAATTTTAATATCATTTTATACATGCCATAGTGTGTCTATACATAATCAAATTAACACAAGTGTTACTTTGAGAAGTTTTAACTGTTAGAAATATCTTTTTAAACCAATAGAAACTACAAGAAGTTGTACAAATAATAGCACTATTTCAAAAAAACTAAATCTAGCCTAATAATATTGACATAAAGGAACATATGAATTTAGTTTAGACAGACTGCTCTAGAACAAATCAGCTGGACGCTCGCTGGGAAGGGCAGCATCAGGGACACAGCACCACGGGCTCTGCCACGCATATGTACTCAGCCTCCACTCTCCTCCCTCAAAGGTCATCTGAGCACCTCTCAACTTTTCAAAAGCTCTGTTCAAACAGAGCATTGGTATCTCTGGAATTTAACGAAGATTGTTATCCAAGAACAGAATGTGAAACTATATCAGGTATGATTTAAACCCATGAGTAATCAAGATTTAGATATTTTATTTGGGTTATAGACATACTTTCCAGATTCAAGTACATGGGAAATCTGAATTTTATGAGTGATGGTGCAGTTGAGGGGGAAGAGAGAAGGCTAGGTCTGGATTAGCTAGCCCAGAAAGTCATTTTGCTAAAAAAAATAGCTGCCACCGATATTTGAAAGATAACTTTTTAAAACTGATTTTTTTCCCCAAACTGCAGGCCTACTGACTTCATTTAGCATGTCCAACTAAAAGAAGACTTTTGTTCTGCCCTAAAATTGCAACTCAAGGAGGATATTTTTCCTTTTGCATACCTGCTGGTGAAGGGATTACTGGAGTGAATAATAAAAAGTATGATAAGAAAAAGATTCTCTAGGCTGAGTCAGAAACTGTCCCTGTATTAATAAGTGACTTAATTTTTCAATAATTTGGACTTCTTATTTGCCAAAAGAGGAAAATACTAACTACTCTATCTCCCACAGAGTTTATGAGCTGTAGACACAAAAGTACTTTGAAAAATTAAGAGCACTACATGAACATAATAAGCATATGTACACCTATGTTTATCGGAGAAGGCAATGGCAACCTACTCCGGTACTCTTGCCTGGAAAACCCCATGGATGGAGGAGCCTGGTAGGCTGCAGTCCATGGGGTTGCGAAGAGTCGGACACGACTGAGCAACTTCACTTTGAGTTTTCACTTTCATTCATTGGAGAAGGAAATGGCAACCCACTCCAGTGTTCTTGCCTGGAGAATCCCAGGGACAGGGGAGCCTGGTGGGCTGCGATCTGTGGGGTCGTACAGAGTCGGACACGACTGAAGCGACTTAGCAGCAGCAGCAGCAGCACACCTATGTTTATAGCAGCATGATTCACAATAGCCAATTCTAATGTCCATCAGCTGATAAACGGATAACCAAAATGTGGTATGTATGTACAACTAAATACCATTCAGCCTTAACGAGGAATAAAATTCTGATACATCCTACAGTACAGACCAAACTTAAAGACATTATGCTAAGCAGAATAAACCAATCACAGAAGAACAAACACTGTATGATTTCACTTATTTGAAGTACCTAGAATAGACAAATGCATAGAGACAGAAACAAAAGTGATTACCAGGGGTTGGGGGAGAATGGAATGGGGAATTATTGTTTAGAGGGTATAGATTTTCAGCTTGGGATGATGAAATGTTCTGGGTGGTGGTGATGGTTACATAAAAATGTGAATATACTTGACTGTACATTTAAAAATAGTTAATATTTTATGTTTTATGTATTTACCACAATAAATAATATTTACTACTGTGTACACTATAAAATAAAAACAATTTATAGAATAAAATAATAACTAGAAATGATAGTAGATTTACTGGTGTAAGTAGTATTGGTAATGAAAATAGCAATAATTTAGGTAGGTTGGAGAAAGTGTTCAGATTGATCAGATTTATACAAAAGGGTGGGCTCAGCTACTAACACAAAAATATTTTCATATATTTGTGTAGGTAAAGTGAGACAAAGTGGCCTTTAGACAATTACATCTAAAAATTTCAAAATAAATTAAGGACTCCAGAGAAAGCTTATATATGTTGTAAGTATCCTATAAGAATAAATTTAAAAATGAGTTAATTTTCCCTAGAACTTACCCCCAAGCAGTTTAGGAAAAAGCTTTGAACATCTGCATATTTTCTACATGTTGAACTTTAAGTCCACAGTTTCAGAGCCTCTGCTGTGTTTTGATACTATCTTGTGCAATATGCTATCACTTATTATTTACCTGTTTCTCTTTCCTGACAATACTCTGAGGTCTGTGAGGGTAGGGATCATGTGTCTTCTTCAACACTTGAATACACAGTACCTAGTACACGGCCTGGCACTTAGTAGGTGTGCAATATGTATTTGTTGAATGAATGAACAGATGCATGGGGGTGGAATCATATATCACTGCAGTGGGTGAACATGTCTTAACATATCTACACCAACATCCTCACTAGAGGGCTGCAGCGTTCAGGTTCTCCAGGGAAAATTCTTGGGACAGAGGAGGGTATGTCTGGGTACAAGTGCTCCTCTCAGGTAAGCCCCAGGGGTCTCTGGTCTGAGTGAACCAGGACTTAAAGTCCTGGGCATGATCTGTTCATTGAAAGCCCTTTGGAAATACAGGTTACCATAAGAATCTTCTGAGGACTTCCTGGGCTGCACATCCATAGTGAGATGCTCCAAGCCATTCAGGAAGTCCAGGAGAGATATCAGCTTCCATCCCTAAATTCTCTGGCCTATTAAGTCCCCACGTCTAGATGACTGGCATGGTATGGGAGCACAGACCCAGTTAACCAGACCTGATTGTTTGAGAAAAGTTTATAATCTGATATTCTATGGAAATTTTTCAGTTTTTTTTAAATAAAAAAATTTTTTGGTGAGCCAAGAAAAATAAATCTGTAAGTCATCCACGAGTTTACCTGAATGTATTGAAAAGCTTGCCAGGAGTTCAGGTAATTTTTAGGATAGGCTTCCCTTTTTTCCTTCCATTCTTCTTTCCTAACATCCTTTTTCCTTCCAAGCCCCCTCTCCCCTTCCTCCCTTTATTCTCTCTCTTCCCTCCTTCCCTTCCCTTTCCTTTCTTCCTTCACACCTTCCTTCCATAACATTTACTGAGCAGCTACTATTTCCAAGGACTGTTTTTAGCACTAAATATAGAGCAGGAAAAAAGCAGGCTATATAAGATCAGAATTCAGATTCTGGTGGGGCAGAAGGGGAGACAAGCAGTGAATAAAAAACTAGAACACGCGGTGACCACTCCTATGGAGAAAAATAAAGCAGGAAAGTGGAAAGGGGTGGGAGAAGGTGAGGCAAATTTAACAGAAGAGTGGGGGAAAACAGTAAATGCAAAGGTAGGATGGGAGTGTGACAGCATGGACTATGAGTGGATGGCATTGTTAACTTTCTTAAATTCTTCTGCACTAAAAATCTCTGCTTCTAGTAAGTTGCCCATTTTCAAGCATCAGCACTTCAAGTCTCTCTAGAAGCCCAGTTCTGTTCAGTTCAGTTCAGTCGCTCAGTTGGGTCTGACTCTTTGGGACCCCATGGACTGCAGCACTCCAGGCCTCCCGGAGTTTACTCAAACTCATGTCCATTGAGTTGGTGATGCCATCCTCTCTCTGTCGATCTCATCCTCCACCGTCCCCTTCTCCTCTTGCCTTCAATCTTTCCCCGCATCAGGGTCTTTTCCACTGAGTCAGTTCTTCGCATCAGATGGCCAAAGTATTGCAGTTTCAGCTTTAGCATCAGTCCTCCAATGAATATTCAGGACTGATTTCCTTTAGGATGGACTGGTTAGATCTCCTTGCTGTCCAAGGGACTCTCAAGGGTCTTCTCCAACACCATACTTCAAAAGCATCAATTCTTTGGTGCTCAGCTTTCTTTATAGTCCACTCTCACATCCATACATGACTATTGGAAAAACCATAGCTTTGACTAGATGGACCTTTGTTGGCAAAGTAATGTCTCTGCTTTTTTAAAAATTTTATTTTTTATTTTTTAAATATAAATTTATTTTAATTGGAGGTTAATTACTTTACAATATTGTATTGGTTTTGCCATACATTGACATGAATCCTCCATGGGTGTACATGTGTTCCCCATCCTGAACCCCTTCTCCCACTTCCCTCCCCATCCCATCCCTCTGGGTCATCACAGTGCACCAGCCCCAAGCATCCTGTATCATGCATTGAACCTGGACTGGTGATTCGTTTCACATATGATAATATACATGTTTCAATGCCATTCTCCCAAATCATCCCACCCTCGCCCTCTCCCACAAAGTCCAAAAGACTGTTCTATACATCTGTGTCTCTTTTGCTGTCTCGCATACAGGGTTATCGTTACCATCTTTCTAAATTCCATATATATGCATTATTATACTGTATTGGTGGTTTTTCTTTCTGGCTTATTTCACTCTGTATAATAGGCTCCAGTTTCATCCACCCATTAGAACTGATTCAAATGTATTTTTTTTAAAAAGCTGTGTAGGTTGGTCATAACTTTTCTTCCAAGGAGCAAGCATTTTTTAATTTCATGGCTGCACTCACCATCTGCAGTGATTTTGGAGCCCAAAAAAATAAAGTCTGTCACTGTTTCCACTGATTCCCCATCTATTTGCCATGAAGTGATGGGACCAGATGCCATAATCTTAGTTTTCTGAATGTTGAGTTTTAAGCCAACATTTTCACTCTCCTCTTTCACTTTCATCAAGCATTTCCCTCAGGACTTGAAAAGCAGCAGCATTTCCCTCAGGACTTGAAACCTGAGCTGTACATGGCAGCAGTCCCAGGAACCAATTCCTGACCTTCCGCTGGCTGTTGCCTACACCACACTTATATGGAAATTTACCAACAATTTACATTGGTTAGTTCACTCATTCATTCATTTGTGAAATATCTACTATGTACCAATCACTATATTTAATGCTAGGAATCAAAGATGAGGAACCACAGTTGATGCTGTTCACAGGTTTGCATCTAATACTGAGAAACAAATGTAAACATAAATAGATGCAATAAAGGATATACAAGAGGATATACATACAAGAGGATCACTTCTACCTGGGATGATCAGACCTGAAATGAGTTGGGAGGGAGATAAAATAACAATATCTCAATTTGAGAGCATAGTAGTGGTTAATAAAGTCTCTATTTATTACAGATTTATATGTCATTAAATGTTGACTATAACATATTAGCTTCCTGGGTTGATATATTACAGACAGTCATAGAAAAATATCATTTCTTGCCAATAAACATATTTATTGTCTGAAAGAAGTATTCATTGCTGGAGGTCTGATTTCAGCTGCATAATACTTAGGCAGGATTTTAGCTCATGTTATTCAAAATAAAAGTTTATTAAGGTTCATTAGCGTTGTTTATGCCCACTTAACTATAAAGTAACATTTAAATTTGAGTTAAGTTCTCACTAATAATTATATTCTGTATTTGGAAAGGCATTAGGGATTAGGTCTGCTTGTCCAATTAAAGTTAATTGTAAGAAAGACAAATTCCTATTATTAACTTGTGTTTCTACCGCATTCAAAACTGTAAAATGCCATGCTGTTATTTTGTGCACCTATTTCTCAGCATTCGTCCAGCAGACCTAGAGACAGGGCAAGCAGACTCTTTCACAAGAGAGAGAAATGAGCTCCTCCAGGAGGTGTGGCCTCTCAAAGGCCACAGGGGCTGGCATTGGAGAAGCAAAGTAAGAAGCCACAGAGTCTGATTCTGGAGGATTATTATTTTGATTAAAGACTCCTTCAGTTTAGTCAGCTACAGAAGATTTGGAGGTATGTAAAAACCAGGCAGAAGTATTTCCAAAACTTTCCATATCTGACTAACCAAGGTAAAATCAGGAATTAATCTAACAGTTTTTGCACCATGGGCAGAATACTTCTTAGATATTTACCTGTTTTAATTTTCACCAAATTGTATTTCAACCCTTTTCTTTATGTTATTCAGATTTTTTGAGGTCTAGTTCACATACCATAATCTTTACCCTTTTAAGGTGCACAATTCAGTGAGTGTAGTACACTGCCAACACTAAGTCATCACCGCTAATTCCAGAGCATTTCCATCACTCCAGAAAGAAACCCATACCCATCAGCAGGCATTTTCCATTTTCTCCTTCCTTATGAAATCACAAATTTACTTTCAGTATCCACAAAATTACCTAGTCTGGACATTTAATATAAATGGAATCACATGATACACAACTTTTGTGTCTGGCTCCTTTCATATAGCATAATGTTTTCAAGTTTCATTTGTGTAATAATGCATATTAGTACTTCATTCCATTGTTATAGTATAATAATTCCATTGTATGGATA